TAATGGGTTTTAATGCTTTTTCTTGTTCACATTCTATATATGTCTGCTGTTTGGGGTTCTTTATCTGTGTGGAAACTCCTGAAAGTATATTATTTGTTATGTATTAAATTACCATTTCAGATAGGTCCGAGCTAGTGGGATATTATCCATACGAGACCCCGGTGGTTCATCCCATCGGAACAACTAAAGACATATTCTTGCCAGACCCTCCGTCCTGCAAAATTGACACGCTTATCATTGTATAAATTCAACAACCCATGATCGACGATACTTGCGCCATATTTGATTATCATGGTTATTTTATTGATACGTGTGTGTTGTAAATTGTCAGGACTGTTAGCGACGAGACTGGGTAGTTTGGAAGGTCATTTCCATACGCAAAGTTCATCTATCCGGAATGCGGGGTTAGGTGTAGCCATTAATATTACTATCCCCATCATTAGCCCTCAACCAATAGTCGGTAGGGCGGGAACTTGAGTTGAATTGCCCGTTAAGATGACATTGATAAACCCTAGTCCGATTCGTTTATCAGACAATTCCCATCCTTCGGCTTTTCGGGTACAAAATAATGTTGATATTTTTGCTGAGTAGGTGTTCATAGTATGGGAGGTCATTATTTGAAGGTTGCCATTTTGAAACTACTTGAAACGTAAACAACAGATAGAAAATGCATTAAACGAAACCTTAGTAAATAAATGGGATTATACAATATGATTATTATGCATACCTCTAATATTCCTAACTATTCAACTAAATGAATTATAAAAATATAGTATAGCTTTCAATGATAAATCAATGTTTTGTATGATTATGTTTAATGTGATGCTAACATATGATGTTACACACTGTGAATGTAATGTGAACTATGTACTATGTCGTTTTTATTGATTATTTAAAAAATTAAATGGTCGTCTTTGGTGTCAATATATATCTTTTCAGGGGCACATTTACCATTTCTGCCAGTTACAACTGTGTACAATGATCACATGTTCACCTATTTTGCAGGAACATGGGACATGTGCTGATATTGATTAAGTAGTCGTCTTTAGTATCGATATATATGCTTTCGGCTCTCAGATTCCATTTCTGTCATTTACAACTGCGTGAAATGATGGTATGTTCACTCATTCAGCATATTTCCATGATGGCCGCCGTTTGTGGCAGGACGTTTTCTAAACACACCACTGAAAAGGTTTCTGAATCCAATTCTTCTATGTGTAAGCGCTTGGTGTTGTCATGTAAGGAGCATGATGGGCGCGTGTCAGTTTCTTGCCACGCTTATTGGCGCAAGCCGCCTGCCGCCGTTACGGTCTCTTTGTCTTCATGCCAGGGGATCGAGTGAATAGGGTTTTCTTTCCCAGGAAAATCGCTATCAGCTCAAGGGTCATCCCGAATCAGTAATTTTCATCGTTAGGTAATATACCAAATAGGTACGACACGGTACCGGCTTTCAGGAATGTGCTACAAGCTAAATAAATAGCCTACGTAGCAGAATTGGACTCTAAATAACAACAAGTAAATGTATGATAATAATATGTTTAGAAAACGTTCCGCCGTCTTGGAAATATGCTAAATTGGTGAACATACGATCATTTTACGCAGTTGTGTATGGCAGATATCGAATCTGCGCCACCGAAAACATATAATATTGACACCAAAGACGACTACTTAATCAAAATCAGCACATCGTCCGATTTTCCCACCACAAGTGACAGCAATATTGCAAATATGCTAAATATGTGAACATGTGACCACTTTACAAGGTTGTAAACATATATTGACACCAAACACTACTACTTAATCAAAATCAGCCCATCGTCTCATTTCCCGCCAAAAATATGCTAAGTATGTGAACATGTGAACAATTTACAAGGTTATAAATGTCTGAAATGGTATCTACGACCCCGAAAAAATAAATATTGACACCAAACACTACTACTTAATCCAAATCTGCACATCGTCCCATTTTCCGCCAAAAATGTGATTATGCTGCAAGTTGTAAATGTCAGAAATGGAATGTGCGACCCCGAAAACATCTATATTGACACCAAACACTACTACTTAAACAATATCTTCACATCGTCCCATTTCCCGCCAAAAATGGCCGCTATCTTGGAACATGTGAACATGTGATCAATCCCAATGATCATGTTACAAGGCTGTAAATGTTAGAAATGGAATGTGCGACCCGAAAACATATATATTGACACCAAACACTACTACTTACACAAAATCTTAGAATTGTCCCATTTTCCCACCAACAATAGCCCCAATCTTGGAAGTATCTGAAATATATGCATGACCAATGCCAATACTAATACAGTGCCAAATCACAATTGATATATCGATAACATTATAAATAATGTGGAATATTATCCCAGCATGGGATTATGTCCTCCCATACTATGATGATGACATTAAACATCAAAACCTTCAAAATAAAAGTTATTCCACGATTTCTACCCGAAAAGCCGACGAATTTACATAAAGGATGGAACTATCAATGTAATATTTACAGTTGTTTATCCCGTGGTTGGGAGGGATAGCCCGGGCCCACCCCTACTGCCCGTGCAGAGCATAAAATTCATCAAAAAAGCATCGAACAAACAAACGTGCGGAGCATTCCCCCCCCCCCTCGCCCCCCCCACCCCGATCTTACTCAAATGTATGTGTTCTCACCTACAAGAGCAAAAATATAATAAATCACACGGGTAATCCCCCAGACCAGGATCCCCCGCAGCTCAATATAATAAATCACACGGGTAATCCCCCAGACCAGGATCCCCCGCAGCTCAATATAATAAATCACACGGGTAATCCCCCAGACCAGGATCCCCCGCAGCTCAATATAATAAATCACACGGGTAATCTCCCAGACCAGGATCCCCCGCAGCTCAATATAATAAATCACACGGGTAATCTCCCAGACCAGGATCCCCCGCAGCTCAATATAATAAATCACACGGGTAATCCCCCAGACCAGGATCCCCCGCAGCTCAATATTCCTGGATTAAATAATACACGAGTATCTTGTTAGATAAGCAGTATCAATAATTGAAAATATTACCCATCTCATTGCTTGTTGATAACCGTGTGTGTTATTCACCAACATCTATCATAATCCATCTTCAGTAATAAATACCTGAATAATAATACATAAAACAGGTGAAACTTTCTGTGCCCAAACAGAGATAGAAATTAAAACCTGCTGGTTAACTGGTCAATAGCAATAGTACCATGCTGGCCGAGCAACCATAAATCTTCGAATTCACATTCAGTACAGGAGGACGACATAAAACACGACAACAACTAAGTATAACATGAATACTATACTTAATAAACAATTACGAGAAGTTAGTCTCATGTGGCCCTAGCAATATGGTACACTCCATTCCTCTCGGTCCCATGTCTATTGAGGAAATCACACTCAGTACAAATTAATATATAAAATACGAACCTATTTCATCTGCTTTCACCATTAACTATATTCTATCTGTAAATATCCACCAAGTTTATGCCATCCTCTTTTAAGCAAATATTTGTGGAAATCCGCTTACATGCAGCATTGGTCCGACATGATTCAATGAAGAAGCCGGATTATGAATCTTACAGTGCGGTTCTCCGTGAAACGTGTAGTATCCAACAGTTTCCTTGTTTAATGCTGGCATTTACCTTATATCTCACCTTTACATTTATCGTAAAGTCACTCTATATCACATACATATACAATCACTGTACATCACATACATATACAATCCCTCTTTATCACACACATATGCAATCATTGTATACCACACATATATACAATCACTGTATACCACACATATATCACATATATAATCACTCTCTATCATATATACATATATACAATCACTGTACATCACACACTTATACAATCACTGTACATCACACATATATATAATCACTGTACACCACACATATATACAATCACTGTACATCACACATATATACAATATATGTGTATACAATATATGAACAATAGAGGCTTTTGGCAAGTGTAATTTATTCCACCCGTATCAGAGATCCATATTATCACGCTAAGGATACGTTGTGTCAATGTAGTTTTAAGGTTTTTGCCGTTTTCACCATTGTGGCGCTAGTTTTCGACACCAATTTTTGGTTTCACTAATGTATCATTTCAGAAAGTTTATTCCCCTTTATCAAAGAATCACATCATTTGCAGATTTGCATGGCTCTGCCTCCCTAAATGTAGCACGTAGATCAACCAGCATGCAGACAGACATGAAAAATATGAACATTCAGAGAAAAAAATCATCAAAAAAATGATTAAATTCCCGTCTATATCATGTTCAAAACCAGATACAATATACTTCTAGGATACAGATAGATTCATCAAATACCATGACACAACATTTCTGCGTCTCAAAGTAGGAAAAAATGGCAAAAAAACGACGATTTTAAACGAACTTTTTCCGTGTGAAAACTGTTAGATACCTGCTGCCCTGTGCCGCGTCATGTATGCGAACTATACACAAACTGACGACGTTACACGAAAAATTGATACCGACACGTGATGCGGACATTTAATTTCCAATTGCTAAAGGTCTCTTATTACTCCACATCACACGTATATAATCACCGTACATCACACATATATACAATTGCTCTATATCACAAACGTCTAAAATCACCCTATATCACACAATCAGTCTATATCACACACGTATATACTCGCTCTAAAGCACACGTTCACTCTATATCACACAATCACTGAAATGGAAGTTGTCAAATTCATCAGCTCTTTATTCAGTTTTCTTAATTCATAGTCCTTAAATCTTATTTCGTCATTCGTTGTCGTATTTAGAAATTTGTACACTTAAATTAACATTTGTATCTTAAAATCAATATTTGTTTTACAAATCGGACATTTGTCATATCAGATTTGTAAAATATATTTTAATTGTATTTTAATATAAAGATAAAATTTATTTTAGAAAATCAAAAATTAAGAAATAAGGACTATAAAGAGCTGTTTGGTCTTCCATAGAAAAGAGCTGCTGTTAGAATATGACATCATGTTGTCATTTTATACTATATACATTTACAATACGTGAGCACCCTGTTCATTCAACTTGATGTCATTTCTATATATACAATACCTGTATAACGACACCCTTCTGGACTGATACACTCTTCGGTGTCTGTAGAAATACCGATACAGTTGGATCCACCAATTACTGGTGTGGGGTTGTTACACTCTCTTGACCGACTTCTGATTCCTAATCCACAGGTAACAGAACATCCACTAAATGATCCCCAGTCACTCCAGCCACCATCCACTGTAATCATTACATAACTTAATTATAAACAAAGGGTCATTCTGTACTGCAAATTATACAACGTATCATTCTGCACTGCAAACAACTAAATAATGCAACGTATCATTCCACGGGGACCACGTGGCTGAGTGGGTAAGGCGCTGGCTCGTTAGCCTGGTGTTCGATCCCTGCATTGGCCGAGAAAGTTCATCCAGATTTTCCGGCGTGGTTCCCCCTTGTCAGTGATGCAGGACGGAGGGTCTGACAAGGACAGCTGTCTAGTCCTTCGATGAGACGAAAAACCGAGGTTCCGTGTATACATTGGAATGCACGTAAAAGATCCCTGGGCCATGACTGAAAAACAAACTTTTAGTCCAATCTCAAAAAACATTTGCAATAAGTATGACTTATTTGAAAAGCATGCTTTACTCAATAACTTCAATCAGTGCACTAATTTGTTTACAATTGTATCGTTACCGATTTTCATGGGGGTTATGAATCCAGTGAAAACTATTATAGTTCATTTAGGCATTTGCGTTACAGAAATTATGGTCTTTATGGTGTTTCTTCGGGGCATCTAGAAACTTCCATATGTTGACATGGCAACAACTAACTGGAGTCTGAAATCATTTGTGCCACCCTTCTATATTGTTGTTCTTTCTTGGAAGCTGGGCCATAGTTCAATTATATACATATTCCTACGGTTACGACTATCAGGTCTCCAAATGTCGGTATCATTCTGAAGTCAAGATTGGATTCATTGTCTGTTTGGTAACGTTGATGAGGTCCCTATCAGTTTCAGGAAAAGCTCTCTGGATAGACTTATTTTCAGTAATCTCCAAGTCATTAATGGCAGACAACAGACGAAAATCTGATTTTAATACTATCAACTGGAAATACACCCGGAAATTGGTATCCCCAGTCTTGTTTTTAAGTAGAGCACCAACACGTTGAACTATGTGGTTGTCGATAGGAGTATGTATGGTGTAAATCTGGTAAAATATTTAAGGTGCAACTTTAGCGGTTTCATCAGCCAACCGATGATCGGTTGAGGTCGGGACCCTCAGGTTGGTCACTGTTGAAATTGAATATAGTAAAATTCCACCTGGATTGTTTGTACCACTGCCAGACAGAAGGAAAGATTCCCCATTAAAATTTTCTTTGTATTGGTCCGTTATTTTCATGGCCTGTTGAGTTGGTGGTAGAGGTACCAGCTTTCCTGGAAGTAGTCTTGAAACATCTTTTAGTACGTTTGAGGTGTCTAATAGGTGGAAGCCGGGAAATGGTTCCTTCTGGTAGTTTTGAGACTGCATTAGTGACAATTGGTTCTGCAATCTCTTGAGTTCGAGTGGATTGACTCTTTATGGTATTTTTCACCTAAGAATCATTTGACGTACTGGGTCACCAGCATGAGTTTGTTCACTTTTTCTGACTGACTGGCCTCTTCTCTCTGGATCTTTACTGTGGTTTTGCATTTACCATGTCTGCGTTTCTCGCATTTACCATGTCTACGTTTCTCGCATGCCCAGACAACAGCACCATTAGCAAGGACTTTTTGCAAATTTACTGTTCATTTTATTATAAACATTGTGCTCAATTTTCAATTATGCTTATTTATGTGATTAACTTTGAAATAAAATTAATAGCTATGTTATAATGTTTTGATAATGATTAATGTATATATGCATTATAGTGTGCATTCATCAATTAATAAACTATATTAAAAACGAATAAAATCACTAGCAATAAGATTAACAGTTATGTTTTTAAAACGATTACATATAATGGTGATGAAAAACGTCGAGGGTTTCTTAATACCTAAAGAGTTCCTGTGACTGTTCAGGTGTAACTGTTAAACTAGGTGTGGCACTGATTGGTGCACTTAAAAAAAACATCGACTGGACTGCACTGACATACTTGTGGCGACTTCAAAGGACATAGCTGTAGGACCTCCGAAACCAGTTTTAGACAATTCTGATGATAAAGTTTTGATAATTTGTTTGTTTTCATCTTTGAAAGTAATAAAAAGGGTGTGGGAACTTGATTTTCAGGTTATTGCAAATGCTTTGAGTTTGGACTAATACTGTATTTTTCAGTCATGGCCGAGGCGTCTAATTTGCATATTCTATATTATGCAATACCACTGTGATGTTCTCCTAGTGTTTTTCGGCACCCTTGACCCTGAAATTATGAGCGTAGATACTGGTTTCATGGAGCTAAGTCAAAGAGTTTCAGATTTAGGGGAAATATAAGTTTTTCAGTAATGGCGGCTGTTAATTTGCATATTGTGCATTATGTAATAAAGTGATTATATTCTAAATGTGTTTATTTGCGTCCCAGGTCACGAAAACATGGGTCTAGACACAATTTCCACCAAATTTGAACATATAATAGCCAAGTTATATCATTAAGTCAATTTTTGAAATATGAAATTATGCTAATTAGCATATTACGCAATTTGACCCATTTCCACCAAAAATATTTTGGAAGATTTTTGGGATGTTGTTTAGGGGACTATACTGAAAGGCATCCCAGTGAAATTAATTCTGTTGCAATTTGTTTTGGGTCTAACCCCAGATTGACTGGACTATAAGTAATGTGTAGGATTGGGAGTGAATAAAAGTACAAAGATCGCCTGGTTTGTTGTTTTAGAATACAGGATTAATTACTATTTGTTATAAATCAGTAGGAGTTGACATGGCCCGTGGTATTAAACGAGATATTTATCAGATGCTTTGAATGCCATTATACGGGACATTATTATGTTGATCATGCAAGAATTGATATCTACTACCGAATAATCAATATATAAATACCTTGATCTGTAGAAGTATCATCACCTGTACAGCTTACAATAACAGCAGCAGAAGAACACGATTCTGTTGTAGTCTCAGTAACACAATCCAGTAAACTAGCTTCATCACCAGTACAATTGTATCGTTTGTTTATCATAGAATATAGTGTCAAATACACATTTCCCGGTAAAAGGTGACCACCAGATGAAAACCCCAGCTGCATACAAACAACATTTACAGCATTCTGATCAAAACTATCTTCACAAACAGTCTTATATCTATCATTGTCGTAAACCAGGACAGCTCCAGAAGAATTCATATACTTGGTACTCAGTCGAACTGAAAAAAACCACAATGTTTAAAGAATGGAGTTAACCGACAATCAGGAAAGTAAATACAATTCTGTCGACATATTAATCCCAACATACCTGGTCCGTAGCAATAAACACCTTGTCTGTATCCTGAGTAACAACCAGAGATATACTGCCACTTGCCTTGTATACATAGATCTATATAAGGTTCACCTCTGTGGCAATTAAAGGTATTCCTCCAATAGTTTCCTGTTATATTATCAAGTTGTGGAGTATTGTATCTTTCTCCAGTAATATATCCAAGTTCTGTACATATTAGATATTCACTGTATATAGCACAAAGATATGCCCATGTGTTGTTATATTTGACCTGTAGAAGTCCACTATTAGAATTCTCACCACCAACCAATCGATATTCATTTACTGAAATTGAAAGCATGCAAGGTATGAAAAAATATTGTGGATATATCGTGATTTTTTCCGCGACTGGGCTCCTGATACAGCCTTTAAATTGATCCCTCTGTCTTTATGATAGACTGGACCGAGGCCGATAAATGATTGACCCATTAATCACGTCAATTGTTGACGTGATCTGTCGGTTCCATAACAACAAAGCCCCCATCTCTACCCCGTCTGCCAGTTATACAAAATCAAAGACCTGATAATTTCGATCTGGCCACTAAATCCCCAAAGAACGCAAAAGGCACAGTTCTTACTATGGTTGGTCTTCATAAGACCAGTCGGTACAAATAAGTGGGACGTTAAAGCCCATTACATTTCATTTCATTTCTTTACTATGGTATGATTAAAATGAAATGAAATGAAAACAAAACCCCGAAACAAAGTATAAATACCAAAAGTAAGAACTGTTTACAGTCTAGCCATTTCATTAAACCATCATTAAATAATGTTTCAATGTGTTTTTTGTTCTTTTATTACATATTTATTTAGTATCTAAAAGTTTTATAGCATTGTCGCCTTTTCCCTGAAATATTAGAGATGTTGATTTCTGATATGCTTAAGTTTAACGAGTGAATCTAATGTGTAAATATTTCGCCTTTCTCCTAATTTGACAAAACCAAATATTATAGATATAACCTTCACCTTGTCTTTGAACAAAATACTTACAAGAATCATTATTATAGCAGATAACACCTGCTCTAGCTCTGTAAGAAGGACATGGTTTATTGCTTTGTATTTTGGTAGAATTACATAATGTGATGTTATCTTCTTCTCCAGTACAGTCTACTGTATACAACCAGATTGGTTTGTCTGTATAGTCAGTATACACAAAGCTTATACCATGTTCATAACCACTTTGTCGACAAACAACTCGAGCATCTTCTTTACTCCACTGATATCCACAGATTGTTCCCCACATACCATAGTAGAATACCAACACTTGATCATCAGAAGTAACCATAACATCACCATCTTTATCAGCTGTGGTAAATAAAACGAATATGTATTGTACGGAGATATATTCTCATGAATAACTTAAAATCTTTGAAATAAATAAGGCGCAATATTGGAAGGGATCGTGAATCTTTTTAAACATTTTGTTTATATGAGAAAGGGAAATGCTGGCCAAAAGTCTGGATGACTCGCAAAGATAATTTTAGGCTTTTTTTAATATTACGTAGTTTCAACATCAAAGTCAATCTTTTTTATATATTTTATGGTGTGGTACATCGTCGTGTACCGGCTTTAAAATATTAGTTAATAGATTACTACATTTCTTTAACATAAACTCAGTAGTTCATTGCTTACTTCCTCGAAAAAAGAGATAATAGTTACCACCCGTATTAAAGTTATAGAGTTATCTCCCTCTATGCTAATTTAGCCTAATAATGACATGCGTGATGGAGACCGTGTATTTCAGTTTCAATTTGTACAAGGGTTGGTATTAAAAAAATTTGTGTTAATTTGCCCTGGGGCAATTTTCATCGGTTGTGACGCCCTCGTAACCTTCCCGGCCCCTTGAGATCAACAATTTTTCCCAGCCCCTTGAGATCAACAATAGTTCCTAACTATAAACGTTTGGACAATAATGCCGAACGGGGCATTCTGGGGTTTATAGTACCTCTTGGAACACAACCACGCTTTGGGAGTTGAAACTTGGTATCTCATTACACCAGTACTAAATCTGATGATAGACACTTACTGTTTGGCCTAAGCAGTGATCTCAGCATGTATAAAAACATTTGATGCCTTAAGACCATATTGTTCTTAATTGATGTATAATGTTCAAACTACGTGTATCTGTTAATTAGGTGAACCATGTGATGATTAGAAATTTTTGTTTTAGATTAAGAAGACTTATATTCAATTCGAATTGTCGAAATTGTTTAACCCATTTACTCGGATTGGTGAGTAATTAATGCGTGACATATTTTTATTTTGAGATTGGAATGGAGGGTGGGGGTCATCACGGTTAGCTTGTTTAATCTAGTACACTTTTTACAATGGGGGTGGAATGCACCTAGTGGAGGATTTAATTTATACGGGTATTTTAAATTTAACACCAATTGTTGAATTTTATTAACAGTTTTTATCAGTCGTAAAACTGACACTATGTTTTAAAATTGAAATAAAGTTTGAAATGAGAATTTTAAAGGATAGTCAGAATATCTCAAATTTAAAAAAAAATCGTATTGTGCCTTTAAAATAAAGAGTTCCTTTTATCAAGAATCCGACGGTGTGTCAATAATTATTTGATGATGTCAGAACTGATATATAAATACCTTGATCTGTAGAAGTATCATCACCTGTACAGCTTACAATAACAGCAGAAGAACACGATTCTGTTGTAGTCTCAGTAACACAATCCAGTAAACTAGCTTCATCACCAGTACAATTGTATCGTTTGTTTATCATAGAATATAGTGTCAAATACACATTTCCCGGTAAAAGGTGACCACCAGATGAAAACCCCAGCTGCATACAAACAACATTTACAGCATTCTGATCAAAACTATCTTCACAAACAGTCTTATATCTATCATTGTCGTAAACCAGGACAGCTCCAGAAGAATTCATATACTTGGTACTCAGTCGAACTGAAAAAAAAACCACAATGTTTAAAGAATGGAGTTAACCGACAATCAGGAAAGTAAATACAATTCTGTCGACATATTAATCCCAACATACCTGGTCCGTAGCAATAAACACCTTGTCTGTATCCTGAGTAACAACCAGAGATATACTGCCACTTGCCTTGTAAACATAGATCTATATAAGGTTCACCTCTGTGGCAATTAAAGGTATTCCTCCAATAGTTTCCTGTTATATTATCAAGTTGTGGAGTATTGTATCTTTCTCCAGTAATATATCCAAGTTCTGTACATATTAGATATTCACTGTATATAGCACAAAGATATGCCCATGTGTTGTTATATTTGACCTGTAGAAGTCCACTATTAGAATTCTCACCACCAACCAATCGATATTCATTTACTGAAATTGAAAGCATGCAAGGTATGAAAAAATATCGTGGATATATCGTGATTTTTTCCGCGACTGGGCTCCTGATACAGCCTTTAAATTGATCCCTCTGTCTTCATGATAGACTGGACCGAGGCCGATAAATGATTGACCCATTAAACACGTCAATTGTTGACGTGATCTGTCGATTCCATAACAACAAAACCCTCATCTCTACCCCGTCTGCCAGTTATACAAAATCAAAGACCTGATAATTTCGATCTGGCCACTAAATCCCCAAAGAACGCAAAAGGCACAGTTCTTACTATGGTTGGTCTTCATAAGACCATTCGGTACAAATACGTGGGACGTTAAAGCCCATTACATTTCATTTCATTTCTTTACTATGGTATGATTAAAATGAAATGAAATGAAAACAAAACCCCGAAACAAAGTATAAATACCAAAAGTAAGAACTGTTTACAGTCTAGCCATTTCATTAAACCATCATTAAATAATGTTTCAATGTGTTTTTTGTTCTCTTATTACATATTTATTTAGTATCTAAAAGTTTTATAGCATTGTCGCCTTTTCCCTGAAATATTAGAGATGTTGATTTCTGATATGCTTAAGTTTAACGAGTGAATCTAATGTGTAAATATTTCGCCTTTCTCCTAATTTGACAAAACCAAATATTATAGATATAACCTTCACCTTGTCTTTGATCAAAATACTTACAAGAATCATTATTATAGCAGATAACACCTGCTCTAGCTCTGTAAGGACATGGTTTATTGCTTTGTATTTTGGTAGAATTACATAATGTGATGTTATCTTCTTCTCCAGTACAGTCTACTGTATACAACCAGATTGGTTTGTCTGTATAGTCAGTATACACAAAGCTTATACCATGTTCATAACCACTTTGTCGACAAACAACTCGAGCATCTTCTTTACTCCACTGATATCCACAGATTGTTCCCCACATACCATAGTAGAATATCAACACTTGATCATCAGAAGTAACCATAACATCACCATCTTTATCAGCTGTAGTAAATAAAACAAACATGTATTGTACGGAGATATATTCTCATGAATAACTTAAAATCTTTGAAATAAATAAGGCGCAATATTGGTAGGGATCGTGAATCTTTTTAAACATTTTGTTTATATGAGAAAGGGAAATGCTGGCCAAAAGTCTGGATGACTCGCAAAGATAATTTTAGGCTTTTTTTAATATTACGTAGTTTCAACATCAAAGTCAATCTTTTTTATATATTTTATGTTGTGGTACATCGTCGTGTACCGGCTTTAAAATATTAGTTAATAGATTACTACATTTCTTTAACATAAACTCAGTAGTTCATTGCTTACTTCCTCGAAAAAAGATATAATAGTTACCACCCGTATTAAAGTTATAGAGTTATCTCCCTCTATGCTAATTTAGCCTAATAATGACATGCGTGATGGAGACCGTGTATTTCAGTTTCAATTTGTACAAGGGTTGGTATTAAAAAAAATTGTGTTAATTTGCCCTGGGGCAATGTTCATCGGTTGTGACGCCCTCGTAACCTTCCCGGCCCCTTGAGATCAACAATTTTTCCCAGCCCCTTGAGATCAACAATAGTTCCTAACTATAAACGTTTGGACAATAATGCCAAACGGGGCATTCTGGGGTTTATAGAACCGCTTGGAACACAACCACGCTTTGGAAGTTGAAACTTGGTATCTCATTACACCAGTACTAAATCTGATGATAGACACTTACTGTTTGGCCTAATCAGTGATCTCAGCATGTATAAAAACATTTGATGCCTTAAGACCATATTGTTCTTAATTGATGTATAATGTTCAAACTACGTGTATCTGTTAATTAGGTGAACCATGTGATGATTAGAAATTTCTGTTTTAGATTAAGAAGAGTTATATTCAATTGGAATTGTCGAAATTGTTTAACCCATTTACTCGGATTGGTGAGTAATTAATGAGTTTCATATTTTTATTTTGAGATTGGAATGGAGGGTGGGGGTCATCACGGTTAGCTTGTTTAATCTAGTACACTTTTTACAATGGGGGTGGAATGCACCTAGTGGAGGATTTAATTTATACGGGTATTTTAAATTTAACACCAATTTTTGAATTTTATTAACAGTTTTTATCAGTCGTAAAACTGACACTATGTTTTAAATTTGAAATAAAGTTTGAAATGAGAATTTTAAAGGATAGTCAGAATATCTCAAATTTAAAAAAAATCGTATTGTGCCTTTAAAATAAAGAGTTCCTTTTATCAAGAATCCGACGGTGTGTCAATAATTATTTGATGATGTCAGAACTGATATATAAATACCTTGATCTGTAGAAGTATCATCACCTGTACAGCTTACAATAACAGCAGAAGAACACGATTCTGTTGTAGTCTCAGTAACACAATCCAGTAAACTAGCTTCATCACCAGTACAATTGTATCGTTTGTTTATCATAGAATATAGTGTCAAATACACATTTCCCGGTAAAAGGTGACCACCAGATGAAAACCCCAGCTGCATACAAACAACATTTACAGCATTCTGATCAAAACTATCTTCACAAACAGTCTTATATCTATCATTGTCGTAAACCAGGACAGCTCCAGAAGAATTCATATACTTGGTACTCAGTCGAACTGAAAAAAAAAACACAATGTTTAAAGAATGGAGTTAACCGACAATCAGGAAAGTAAATACAATTCTGTCGACATATTAATCCCAACATACCTGGTCCGTAGCAATAAACACCTTGTCTGTATCCTGAGTAACAACCAGAGATATACTGCCACTTGCCTTGTATACATAGATCTATATAAGGTTCACCTCTGTGGCAATTAAAGGTATTCCTCCAATAGTTTCCTGTTATATTATCAAGTTGTGGAGTATTGTATCTTTCTCCAGTAATATATCCAAGTTCTGTACATATTAGATATTCACTGTATATAGCACAAAGATATGCCCATGTGTTGTTATATTTGACCTGTAGAAGTCCACTATTAGAATTCTCACCACCAACCAATCGATATTCATTTACTGAAATTGAAAGCATGCAAGGTATGAAAAAATATCGTGGATATATCGTGATTTTTTCCGCGACTGGGCTCCTGATACAGCCTTTAAATTGATCCCTCTGTCTTTATGATAGACTGGACCGAGGCCGATAAATGATTGACCCATTAATCACGTCAATTGTTGACGTGATCTGTCGATTCCATAACAACAAAACCCTCATCTCTACCCCGTCTGCCAGTTATACAAAATCAAAGACCTGATAATTTCGATCTGGCCACTAAATCCCCAAAGAACGCAAAAGGCACAGTTCTTACTATGGTTGGTCTTCATAAGACCATTCGGTACAAATACGTGGGACGTTAAAGCCCATTACATTTCATTTCATTTCTTTACTATGGTATGATTAAAATGAAATGAAATGAAAACAAAACCCCGAAACAAAGTATAAATACCAAAAGTAAGAACTGTTTACAGTCTAGCCATTTCATTAAACCATCATTAAATAATGTTTCAATGTGTTTTTTGTTCTTTTATTACATATTTATTTAGTATCTAAAAGTTTTATAGCATTGTCGCCTTTTCCCTGAAATATTAGAGATGTTGATTTCTGATATGCTTAAGTTTAACGAGTGAATCTAATGTGTAAATATTTCGCCTTTCTCCTAATTTGACAAAACCAAATATTATAGATATAACCTTCACCTTGTCTTTGATCAAAATACTTACAAGAATCATTATTATAGCAGATAACACCTGCTCTAGCTCTGTAAGGACATGGTTTATTGCTTTGTATTTTGGTAGAATTACATAATGTGATGTTATCTTCTTCTCCAGTACAGTCTACTGTATACAACCAGATTGGTTTGTCTGTATAGTCAGTATACACAAAGCTTATACCATGTTCATAACCACTTTGTCGACAAACAACTCGAGCATCTTCTTTACTCCACTGATATCCACAGATTGTTCCCCACATACCATAGTAGAATACCAACACTTGATCATCAGAAGTAACCATAACATCACCATCTTTATCAGCTGTGGCAAATAAAGCAAGGACGTATCGTACAGACGTATTCTTGTGAATAATTATTAAAAATTTCGAAATAAATCAGGTGCGATATTGGTAAGGATCGTGAATCACTTTAAATATTTTACATGAAGAAAGTACATAAACTCTCGCTTTATTATCCCGGTTGTTGAGTAGTACACAAAGCCAATAATGTTACCAAATGCCACATACTAGCTAAGTTTAGGAGACCATGGATGAAAATGGGTAATGTTAAAACTTTAGTTTCAAAGGACTAAGAACTCAGCAGAATGAGCGTTGATGAGAACAACTACCTCTAGGAAACTTCACTCCTTGTACACTTATAAAAAAACAATTTCTTCACAAACAACACTTGCTCTTAGACTTTGATAAGTTTTTGACGTATTACACCGTCACATTACTAACATCGACATTTCCAGTCATATGTGGCCGGCATCGTATTTAATCAAATAAACTGCAAAATTTCATTTAATCTTGTGTTCACCATTTGAAGATATGATCAAGAGCAAATTCCCCGTTTCCATATGAATAATTAATATCGATGAATACTTATCTGTAGATTAAAGTTCTGGGCTATGATTCTAATTTTCACTATTCTAGGGGTCACCTAAATGGGGTAGGATTTGCATCATAAAGCCCCTTTGGCAATTTTAAAACTAACGCCTACTTCCAAGTTTCAAACATTTCCCCTTTTCATTGTCAGCTCAAAATAACTATTGATAATGACATCCAGGCTTGAACAACCAACCAAGAATGCTCTTCATCCTACGCCAGAATTCGACTCTGGACATTCAAGCCAAGATTTCAATAGCCTAACCATATCCTACCATATCCTAATAGATATGCACCAACTAGTAACTTTGCTGTCTGTATAACCATTAAAATTGATCATAATTTTGTTGGTAACAACACACTGAATACCAGACATTGTTTCCATTGTTTCAAATTGTCTAAATTCGTTCATTATTTGTTGCTGTGGTATTAATTAATCTTTAAAACAAATTCAAATGATGGTTGATAATGTATTTATTTATGATACATACAAACCAACCGGAGAAATTGGACCCCTGAAACACGAAGAAAACCGAACCCCCGAAAGAAATGAAATTCACGTATAAATTATGGAAATATAAAGTACTGCTTTACTTACCATTCTGTGAGTCCACCTCTACAATAGCTATAATAAAAATATATTGAGTCAGATAAAAACTGTAGCACACATTAATACCGCCTCGGCGAACCTGTTCGTACCAATCGTCTGACTACTCAGAAGATCAGCTGTTACGTCTTCATTAGCCCAGGTTAGGAGCAGAACAGTAGGACGTTAAACTCCATTTCATTTATTTACGACCGGTCTGTTTATCCTGGTTTGTGTTTCTATATTGATTTGGGCGTCATGCTCCGTTTCAATAATGACTTCGATATCGAATTCAGTATTTGTAAATAAACCGACCAGAAATTTTCGTCTCATTTAGATAGGTATAAACCCTAGAAACCAGTAAGCTTCCAATATTTGTTTATATATCGTTCCATTAATATTTGTTTCAATGGTACGGTACAACAATCGTAATATTACACTTTACCTATATTCCTTGTAATACATAATTCAATGATACAGTACAGAAGTTATGGTAATAGGGTACACTCACTTTAAAGGTCTAACATTACTGTTAGTACATAACGAAATTAATACCAGCCACTAGACAAGCGGTTGTTAACAAAACTATGTCTATGAACTCGGCAAACTAACCCAAGCTGAACGTAAAGCAAGCAAGTAAGGAGAACTGAGCGTATATCCGTTTTATTATACCCCTGTCACGAAGAATGGAAGAATTGTCTCGTTACTCATGTGATACGTAAAAGACGATTGGTAATAAGAACCTATATGTATATACAAACATTGTCTAGACAAGTACTATTACAGAACCCTGTCTATGTTAGAAGTGTGGTTTATACTAACATGTCCGCGGGTTTATCTTGTAGATTTTTGTTTTGCACTTACTAATAGACTACGGCTACTTGCTACTAAGCTTGCTCATTCGGATGGATTTGTTTTTACCTTCAGCCATGCAAACAAATGGTTCCCATTAAGAAGAACGCGCAATTGACATCATTATCTCAAATCATGTCCTTTAAAAGTTTATATAGCGATTTTTCTGACCACGGATTACATAAGTGTTTCTTGGAATATTCAGTGTATTTACACTCGTTTCGATCAATAAATTCTAGTTATTCATGTCGACTCAACCAATGTCTTACTATAGCCTCACTACCCACCAGGTTAATGGATGTTGGTCAGATTCTAATCTATATATATATTTGTGACTGTCGTTTGTCTGTCTGTCTTTCTGTCTGTCTGTTCGGGGTTGGCGGCTATACTAGGTCTGCCCCGAGTCTGAAATTTGGGGTATAGGGGTAACTCGGACCGGGGAGTAACATAGGCCAGGAGGCGTTAGTCTACCACTTCCGGTTTCGGAGTTATGACCCCCGAGCGAAGCCGGTCGGTTCGGCGGCTACACTAGGTCTGCCCCGAGTCTGTAACTTGGGGTATAGGGGTAGCTCGGACCGGGGAGTAGCATAAGCCAGGTGGCGTTAGTCTACCTCTTCTGGTTTCGGAGTTATGACCCCCGAGCGAAGTCTGTCTGTTCGGGGTTGGCGGCTACATCTGCCCCGAGTCTGAAATTTGGGGTATAGGGGTAATTCGGACCGGGGAGTAACATAGGCAAGGTGGCGTTAGTCTACCACTTCCGGTTTCGGAGTTATGACCCCCGAACGAAGCCGGTCTGTTCGGTGTTGGCGGCTACACTAGGTCTGGCCCGAGTCTGAAATTTGGAGTATAGGGGTAGCTCGGACCGGGGAGTAACATAGGCCAGGTGGCGTTAGTCTACCACTTCCGGTTTCGGAGTTATGACCCCCTAGCGAAGCCGGTCTGTTCGGGGTTGGCGGCTACACTAGGTCTGCCCCGAGTCTGAAATTTGGGGTATAGGAGTAGCTCGGACCGGGGAGTAACATAGGCCAGGTGGTGTTAGTCTACCACTTCCGGTTTCGGAGTTATGACCCGGTCTGTTCGGGGTTGGCGGCTACACTAGGTCTGCCCGGAGTCTGAAATTTGGGGTATAGGGGTAGCTCGGACCGGGGAGTAACATAAACCAGGTGGCGTTAGTCTACCACTTCCGGAGTTATGACCCCCGAGCGAAGCCGGGTATCCTGCTAGTAACTTATATTTCACAGTTTCGACTTGTAGCTAAATGACGCTGTGCTCATAAATTTACTTCATTCAACATGTTTCGTACTAAGATGTGAAGAGAGTCGCTATGAAAGAATATTAGTGATGACAATAACTACCGACGAACTCAAATAGAATTACTGAAAACAATTGTCGTACCTGAATGCGCTGCAAGGCAAAGGAATAAAGCTAATTTGATCAGCCCCGGCATGGTTGCCATCATCTGAAAAGAATGTGTACGAGGTTAGGTTAAAGCACAAAGCGACAGAGAGAAAGAGAGGGGGTGATGTTAACGCCAAATCGTCCCAAACTGGGTTATTATGGAACAAACATATGGTTCAATCTTAATTCAATAACTCGCTTGCACGTAGGGGTCTTTAGCAGTGGCAGGAAACTGGATGACCAACAAAGGCCCACGTGGTTGGAGAGGCCACCATGCTCCTTGCCTTTATGTACAAGCGGGGAAACACTTTGATAACACTTCGAGTATAAGGCGTGCACGTTTAATCACAAGGTCGTTCGTGGAGTTAAAAGTATCAGATACCATTCTCAAGAAAAAAAATTCTAAAATTTAATAAGACCTTAAACTCAATTTTACTTCAATTTATTTGGCTACGATTGCAGCGTAATATTATAGGCAATGGACCGTCCCATGTAAATAGCTCCTAGCTTTTGTTGAAAGGCGTGGGGGGTGGGTGAGCAAATAACTAATATACATGTAAACATTTTATTACTTACCTCCCGGCTGTAGTGCGTTGATATAAATGTTTGTGTGCAACAGTGCGAATTTATACACGTTTATGTATACACGTATGATTCACCCACGTTTCGCTCTGGTGCATCATTCGGTTATTTAATCTTTGTAAAACTGTCATTGTGTCGAAATGAAACCAAAGATGTATCAAATGAATCTGACACAGTAAATCTAAAATTATAAGGGGGTGTTGTCTCCATGTCTGTTTTTCGCCGATTAGATTTGTTGTGATAATGACCTCATTAACAATTTAACGTTTAACTTAAGGTAGTACATATAACCGGTGATAGAGCTTGTTTCGGACCACAGAGTCTTAAACAGTTTAAGCATTAGATAAACAGTGTCTATGTAAGTGATCGATTCAATCGGACCCAAATACAACCCCTTAATCCCAATTTATGTTCGGAGCTTCATATATCTTATTTTCGATGCGATTTTAAGGTCATTTCCCTGGAATATTCACTAATATGTAATATTAATGGTACTAAAAATAAATATTTAATTAGACAAAATCTCGCATTGATATCATTACACTATTTTGCCGATACCGTATTTTAGGACTCGAATTTTGTTTAATGGTTTTGATTGTTTGTACTTGGTTTTATTATATTTCAAGAAAACCAAATCAGTTTCATGAATTGGGACTAGTCAATTTCTTCACTACTGTGTTTGAAGGTGTTACAGATGAAATAATCGCCAGAATATGTATAGGCTACAGTACATTCAATTAGTGCTAGAAGAGTTTTGTAACCAAATCTGATTGTTTTAGTCAGGGTAATCTAAAGCAATCATCACTAATAGTCGGTAGAAATTTAGGGCCCCATTCACAGGGTGGAAATTCTCTTGCAACCCAACACTGTAGTCTACTTGGTGGTATACCTTGTAAATGGAAGCAGAAGAACTAGTAGGTGCCAGTGTCTTCGGATCTATAAAAGTTTTCGTTTTTCTTTTGTTTTTTTTTTAGATTTATCGAAGTAAGGGAATTCTTTTAAAATTGCCGAATGCTGAAGGTATATAAACAGCTGTGCATACATTCAATAGGCATACTCAGAGTTATTCTGTTGTCTCCCCGCCACCGCCTGCCTTCCCCTGGTGCCTTGTTTGCTTATTGGCTACCAACAATTATTACATTTCATCAGAAATATTCTGGAAGAATATTATTAGAAAAATGAAATGAAACGGGGCTTAGCCACATGTTTTCTGTTCCGTCTGTGTTGACGAAGACGGGCGAACACCATGCATTGTGTTTTGAGGGTAATTTTGCCCGGATTTTGCTACGGTCTAGTCTTATTTTGAATTCAAATTGTCAAGGTTTTATTTTGCGTGCACGCCAATGTGTACACGGGACCTCGGTTTCCCATTCGAAGAACTATAGGCCTACAATGTCTTGCGCCACTGACAAAGGGGAAACACGCAGAAACTCCCAATGGACTTTCTCAGTCAACGCTGGAATCTAACCTCAAGGTTAGCGAGCTTGAGTCACCGCGGGCGCCAAGCTACAAACCCCTTTTCCTGTAATTCTGGCCACTGAGAACAGCATATACAAAGTAGTCCATATTAAAGTGGGTGAGTGTGGAACCTAATTACCACTTTGTGGCCATCTAAATTCCTTATTATGATGCAGAGATGCAGCACAATGGTCTTTAACTGATTATTAGATTCACACATTCTATAGAAGTCATATCTCACGCACTCAAATCAAAATGACTGAGTGGTTGACATATAAAACAGATTTATAAAACCAAAACATAGCTGATAGAATAGGACGATTTGGTGAGATATAATCATACAAAAATGATATTCCGTTGCGTGAAAGTCGACCAGCTTAACAATGTCCGCCATCTTGGATTTTCGAATCTCTAATGGGCTTTTTACAAAAGAGTGGTCAGCAACAAGTATTTGTGAAAAGATTTTCCTGCATTTATATGCTGTACTTATTGCCCATGTATGTTCTGGCAATTATTTGAACTTGCCTAAAAGTTGTTGAATCACAGTAATGAAGAAAATGATGAGTGACAATTGATTAAACTGATTTTGTTGTCATGAAAGTAATGATATCAATGAAAACATTTTGTGACATTTTGTCTTATAATTTTTATTATATATATGTCTAGTCAAGTTAGCATTACATGTATCAGTGGGCGTCGCTGAGAAATGACCTTAAAATCGCAGCTTCCTGTACTAGCCGTCAGATTTGTGTTATTATGATAAAGTAGCGATAACAGTGAAGCCAGAAATTCCATATGACGTCAAGTGTACAAAGATGCCATCTTGGGTCCCAAGTAATTGTACCTACTCACTACCTATTTATATATCCCTATTATATTGTCGTGTCGAAGTTGGCTGCCCCGACAGCAATGTGGAAAGATATATCAAAGATTTCCGCGAAGTAGAGTATATAGGAGATAAAATATACATTTTTAAAGCGAGGCGTATAGCTGAACATACTGTTATTATACAACAAAAAGCGCACTCTATTGTTATATAGGCTAATTCATAAGAAACATTACAATAAAAGATACACCAGATAATGGCGCTATTAAAGAGATATAACTTGCATACGCTTTTAAAAATCAGATTTTTTTTGCAGATGGGTAAAGTGAACAAAAAAAAAATTTAAATAATAATCTGGGGGATAAAGCTTTTTTGCCTTCTAGCCGGCAAAATAAAGTGCCTGAAATTCCATGATTTTTAGTCTGGAGCCATTCCGAATTGTGTGTCAGTTTTCGTCATCGATCATCAATTTTTCGAAAATCGAAATTTCTTTAAATTGACTAATGGATAAAACATTTAAAATCAATGTAAACTCGGTGTAATTTTTTAACAAAAGGTGTCTAGCGCCGCTATGCTCTAAGCACGACGTGTTTCGGGGCATATTTGTTTTATCAGTGAAATGATTGCGATTGCAACGACAATAGCCTGATTGAATGATTTGTTGATTGGAGATCAGATGTCTTCATTATAATACAGGTTGCTGTATTAACGGCGTAAATTACATAGCAAGAAACTCGTTTTCCGACTTATAATTTCCAGAACTTTTCTGGGGGAGACGACAGGCCCCTACAAATCCCCCGACAGCTCGTTTCACGACTTTGACATTCGAATGTCATTTAAAACACCTAGTAAAAGTCATATCTTATGAGATTATCGCTGGTTTTATCGGACAAAATGCCATTTTACTACTAAATTTGACAGCCATTTTGAAAGAAATGCCCCAAGCCATGTGAAAAGTACATCTATTAAATTTTTGTCAAATTCGTTTTTCGACACACTTCGCCTCTATAACCAGTTTTTTTTAATTTTTCCACCAATAAAACACACTATACAAGATACCGCTCTCCGAAACTCCTGGTATCTTTTGCAATTTGTTTGGGGTAAGAAGTTATTGTAAATATTAATATTCATTTGTCCCATTATAAACCACACAAATGTAACAGAAAAACTTGATTTTCCACAGGTAGACAAACAGGGTCCCATTGAAGGGGTCACGTGAAGGGGATTCAGTTGGTTTAGAGTTTGTCCTGCTCCTTTGGGTATTTCCAATGAAAATACCATGTTGTTCTTATGCTTTATTCAGCCAGTATCAAACATATACCGTGTTTGAGATTTGTTACAAATCGCCTCTTACATGTTCCACACAACCCAACATTTATCGACTTTTTGTTAAATCTATAAAAGCCTACATTCCTACAAAATATTTTGTTTAGTCAAATGAAACGGGGAAATTCATAACTATGCGGGGTGTTGTGTGAAACATTCATCTCGTTAAATTGAACAATAGAACAAGTACACCGTGATGTACGATATGAACATCAGCAAATAAGATATATGATATGATGCAACCCAAAGGCTCTATATATGTAACCGATATTTAATATCTACATTCAAGTTAAACCAACTGTAACTATTTTTTTAAGTCTAACTGAATAAACTATATGAATTATTGTCATTAAACATCTATAGGTGGTTATCAGTGTGTAACTAAAAACTGTAATTGGATCTTTATAGAAATAATCATATTATTTATTTAAGGTGGCATAAAATTGCACATAACTCAGGGCCTTTTTTAACGTGCCTACTAGTAAATACTCGCATTCGAGAATCTAAAATAGGTGCTTTGGAAAAGAAATGGTCTGTATCATTGTGAATCTGAAAATATCTGCATGAGGAAGCTTAGCAAGTGTGCCATCGGCAATCATAATGACCATCAGTCATGTCGTTTGATTTCGTTTCAATTTCGTGTTCTATATGTAAATGTCTAAAAATATAGCTGTTAATGATTCAACTGACACACCCCTAGGTTCGTCTGTTTTTGGATGTTTCTTTGGACTGTCAATGATACCGATACAAATCTGTAAACTTTTATACGGCCACATTTTCACTTTAATTTGTGAATCAATTTTTGGCCATTTTAGATGTTGAGGATCAATAGGTGTTTGTTGAGTTCGATTATGGTTGAACAGCTTGGGATATGGCCTTACAACACAAAGCGTAACAAAGTTTATGAACTTTCTAGTCTGTTGAGGATCAATAGGTGTTTGTTGAGTTCGATTATGGTTGAACAGCTTGGGATATGGGCTTACAACACAAAGCGTAACAAAGTTTATGAACTTTCTAGTCTGATGAAATGAGAACATGGGAGCCCGCCTCCTGTCGACAATCAATATTCCGCGACCTTCTGTTCCGAAGTTAAGCACCCTCGAATACCTTGTTGAAGCGATAGAGTTTTAACCATGCACTTTTGTCAAATTTGGTGTGAAGTATTGAGGTCGAGAGACGACAAACACATCGGTATTCAGCGATCGTTACTTTCCGTTCTCGAGTTCCCAAACCTTTTCCAAAAAACCTTGTAAACGCGATATAAGTAAATGTTTATAATCGTTGTGAAACGTTGGGACAATGAGAGAATGAGCCCAATGGATTTTTCCTGTTCAATGTTCACCCCTTACAAAATCTCGGCGTGTCTTGTATGACAACCGGTTATTTGGTTATAAAAGTGTAACTAT